TTTTATATTGTTCAGAACAAAAATACAATAAAAATGAAATGACACAGACAACAGAGACATTTTAGGAGCGTTTAATATTCTTCTTCTATGTGCCGTGTTCCTTCAGGGCGTAGGCGATCATAGCTCTCCACACTTTCCTGTCCTAGTAGCTCTTAATAAATATTGTCTTTTTTATTCCTCATAAACCGTTTTCCGCCATTCATTTACACAAATTAATTCTTCTTCTATGCACCATGTCACTTCAATACGTACGCGATCATGGCTCTCCACAATGTCCTGTCCTTCGTAGCCCTTAATAAATGTTCTCTTTTTTATCTCTCCTAAACCCTGATCCACTATCCATTTACTCAAACTCATTCTTCTCCTTCTATGTGACATGTCCCTTCATGACGTAGGTGATAATAGCTCTCCACACTTTCCTGTCCTAAGAGCTCTTAATAAAGCTTGTCTTTTTGTTATTTCTCATAAACCGTCTTCCGCCGTTCATTTACTCAAGTTAATTCTTCTCCTATGCGCCATGTCCCGTCAATACATAGGCGAACATGGCTCTCCACAACGTCCTGTCCTTCGTAGCTCTTAATAAATTTCGTGTTATTGTCATCTCTCCTAAACCCTGATCCGCCATCTATTTACTCAAATTCATTCTTCTCATTCTATGTGACATGCCTCTTCAGGACGTAAGCGATCATAGCTCTCCACTATTTCCCGTCTTTCTCAGCTCTTAATAAATCTTGTTGTCTTTTTGTTATTTCTCCAAAATCTTTTTCTGGCATCCATTTACTCAAGCTCATTCTTCTTCTTCTTGTGCCGTGTACCTTCAGAACGTTGGCGATCATGGCTCTCCACAATTTCCATCCTTTTTTCGATATCCACTTACTCAAATTCACTATGTAAATAATGCGTTGATTTCCTCTCTCCTTCTTGCCTTCAGTCTGTCCTGGGAGTATCATATTTACCAAGCCCTCTTTCCTCATAATGTTCCCTAGCAATATCAACTGTTTCTTCGTGATGTTACCTATAACTTTCCTTATTGTCTCTAAAACTTCATCTTTGTTCACATGCTCGGTTCATAGTATCCTCAACATCCTGACGTAGAACTTCATCATTTCTACTGCCTCAAGTCACATCTTCATCTATGCGAAGATTGTCCAGCATTCACTGCCATAGAGAAGGAATTATATAACGTAACATTTCACTAATCTTTTTTGATTCTAACGATTTTTCTGTTTCTTTTACTTTCATTTATTTTTAATTGGTTTCATCCCAAGCAAGGCAGTAAAGCCACTAAGACACAAGGAGTTACTGGATGAGAAATAATTAGAAATTAGAAACTTTACTAAAAAGCAAGAACAAAAGAATAGTAATCAGGAGGACAATAGAAAGCAATTGTCATTGCATGTAAGATCAAATTTGGCTGGAAAGCAGGTAGCCGGAAAATGGTTCCACAGGCGAGAAGTGCGAGAAATAAACTGTTAACATAGAAGTTACTGTTACATCTAGCTAACATCAACTGTAATAGCAAGCATAGAAATGAACACAATATGGGAACAAGTAATAAGGAGTGCCAGAGAAAAGCAATAATAACAACGAAAATTGCAATATTGCAATTGCTATTTCGTCTCACTTGCTTCCCGGATAACTACAATCTTCAAAAATTTAAATGTAACATCAATCGTCATCTTCTTTTGCCTTGTTTCCTCATCTTTTGTTTTTCAATTCAAAGATAATGAATAAAAGGAACGTGTGAAGAAACGTGATCAGGTATGTATTAAATGGGCATGACATTTATTATAATAAACCTACTGTAAACAAAAATTATGATCTGGAATTGGAATGAGAACAGTGATTCCCACCTACCCTGAATCCATCATAAAAAACAAGTTGTGGAATTAGTAAATACTAAGCACTTCAGATAACTCGGCGTATGGATCAGTTATAAAAAATTAAGTGTAGGAGAAAAAGTAATTGAATATAGAATAAAAAGCTGCAGTTTCAAATAGTTCGACAAAGCGCGAATTTGGTTTGAATTAGGGTTTTTCGAATAGACCGGTTGCCATCATCAAATGGAAACCTCAAGTGATGTTCATATCTTTTTTATCCCATGACTCGTAGGATCAGACATTCATATGGAACCACGTCATCGTAGACCCGTTCAAAATGCTGCAGTAGAATCCTAAGATGGTGTTTTTTGAGTGAGTAAAGCCTGAGGCTCTTGACAAAGATAGTTCGAAAGAATCAAAGCCCAACCCACTCCAGGCTGGTTTTGAATTAAAAAAAATGAATTACCAAGATTCCTCCACATCATTTCATAGACCGGTTGCCACCTGTTTTCCAAAAGAAAAATTGTTTTAAAGAGACAGATTTGATAAAATTCAGAAAATAGTACTGTATACTCGTCTGTCCTGCTAATTTATTCATAAAACTTGAGTGGGTAGAAGAATGAGGATTCATACCTTTCCTACAAAAATTACCTTTTGGGTTCTTAGCACGTAAAATGGGA